TCTCTCAAAACCTACTCCACCCTGAGTTTCTTTTACAGGGGTAAGTGACAGCTGGTAGACACAAGAAAACACCATAAAAATTATTGAGAGTGGGAGTCAGTAGAGCTGAAATCTTTCATCTAAAAAACTTCAAAACTATTCTTTGAAAATGAGTATGAACTTTGTTTTTAGAATATTAAATTAGGTTTCCAAAACGCAGTTGGAACTGCATAGATCAATAGACTGGGGGAGATGGGGGGGGCAGAGGATGCAATGCTAGTGATGAGGCAGAAGCTGAAATTGTTTGCAGGTTTTGAAGAACAGTTCCAATGCATGCCATGGCATAATTTCAAACGTGTACAATGATCTAATCAAATCTGATTAACCTAAGGCACTGCAATTCAAACACATCAGCTTTTGTGTATTTTGAACTAGATACTCTTGTTCCCAATTCCAGAATAGTGTGAAGCTCAGTAATGAAGGACATATACTTTTCTTGGCTCAAAATTAGCTATATTTCATACACTGAAATTAACTCTTGGGTTCTACCAGGTGCTAACAAGATATAGTACCATATATTTTCCACTAGCTACCATCATATTCTTTTGGACCAAGGAAACAAGCTATACTTTTGGGATACTGCAGAGACAGATATCTGCCCTGTGACCCAGAAGACATGTCTGGTAAACCCAATTAAGGTCCCATAATGCAGAGCTTTTTCTTTCATTCATGCAAGTAAATGACTCATGTTTATTCCCATGAGGATTCAGCACTCCTTGCAATATAAAAGAGTTCTATTTATAATTAGCAGAAATATTAGTATTAATACAAGAAGATGCTATTAAAAATTCAGTTTGGAATCAGTTAATTCTGTCTTAGATCAAGCCTTTATATCAATTCAGTTTCTTGACTAACATTTAAAACCCTATGCTCCACAGCTTTTCCACTAACTGAACTCATCCCAATAAATTTGACTTTTAAAGTCCCACAGTGAAGCTATGACAGGTACAGTGCTTTGGAAAAACAGATTAAAACATGTTACTTCAAGCCCTATATCAGTGCCTTTCTCAGAAAGGATAGTTTAATTTAAAATAGTAATTCTAGGTGATACCTAGTAGAAACTTTATATTCTAGAACAGTAGTTCTCAAAGTGTGGTCTGGGGACACCTGGGGGTCCCTGAGACCCTTTCAGGTGGTTCACAAAGTCAAATAAATAAATATTTTAAAATTTCTCAGTTTTAATTTCTAATACAGTAAATATTGAGAGAGATAACCCCCACAAACCAAAGCTCTTTGGGGTCCTCAATCATGTTTAAGAATGTAAAGGAGTCTTGAGACCAAAATGTTTGAGAACTGCTGTTCTAGAATAATTAGTATTCCCCAGGGGTAGAATTTATATCAGAATTGGTTTCAATAAATAAATATATCTTCTAGGTACCCCTGTTTTGTATTAGAATTTAGAATTATAATTTGTTTTTGTGATTTTTTTTTTTCTTGTACAAAATGAAAGCATAATTTTTATGGAAGATAACTGCACCTGAGGTACTGAAGCTTCCAGATGTAGGTTTTCGCTGTCTGTTTTCTTGGTAATGTAACAAATGTGACCACAAAGCAGATTTTCCCTAAGATTAAAAGGAAAGTTTATTTGTTAAATGCAAAGTAAATTACTAATACAAAGCATGATATATATCTTGTGCTTTATTACAAAAAAGAATCACATAAAAAGTAGCCACTGTACTGAACCAAGCTAATAAAGAATGTTTCAGTTACAGGGGGAAAAAATCTTCTGAATAAAGTGTACATATTTTTGGAAGAAACTTTAAAGATTTTCAGACTATTATGAAAACTCACATGCTCATATTCAGATCTGTTTGGATAATTCTATAGACTGAGATGTGAAAACCTAGCTCCCTTGAGAAGTCCATAATGCTGGGAAAGGTGGAAGGAAAGAGAAGAGGATGGCCAGTAGGAAGATGGATTGACTTAGTTGCAGCAATGATGGACGCACATCTGGGAGACCTGAAGGGCCAAGGTGAGGTCAGATCATCCTGGATGTCTTTCTATGTGGTCAGAGTCAACATCAACTTGATGGCACATAATCAACTGACTAAGAGGTAAGGGATATTTGTCCTGGTATTTTGGGGTGCTGTCTCTAATCCATAACAAAGTGATTAAATCTTTAGGTCAATAAACACATGAAAATGATAAGTCAGTACCACGACTGTAACTATATTATAAACCTGCACACACACACACACACACACAATGTTTTCTTTACAGGGAGTTGTCTTTCATTTTAAAACAAATACTTGCATTAAAATGGATTACTGGCTTTGTTACTATCTTTTCTTTTGATAAAGGGATGTTAATGTAAGGAGCAAAGCTAATTCAATTTATGAAAAAAGCGAGTTCCTCCTCAGCCCACCCTCAATCTTTTAAACACTATTGGGGGGAGGGTAATTTTATTATATATAAACTCATTACACATGACAGTGTGTCGATTATTATTCTTTGTAACACAAATGCAACAATTCTCTGCATGTTACTTAGGGGCAAAAAGGCTGCTTCTTGGAAATCTGCTCAAAGACACTGTGTCTGTCCTAGGACAGAGACATAATTACAACCTTAGTTTACATTATCTTTTTACATACCCAAAATTACATTTTATTTCTCTCAAAATTTTATTTTGGTCTAAAGTCCTTGTATAATATGCCCAGGTTGCTCAGAGACCTGAGCTAATCTCCGAGCCTTTCCTAGACCCTTGGGTTTCCTATAACATAATACAAAGGACATACAGTTATATAATTTTATAGCAGCTAATCCCACAATGTTTTATGGAACACTGTCAGAATTCCATCAGAAAGTTCCATCAAGACAGGAACAGAAACTTGGAAATGGGTGTCCCAGTCACTACAGATAGCTAAAATATAAGGTAATGGGACTCAAAGCAATCACATAAAAAAATGTAGTGATTAACATGTGAGTAAAAGACTTGATCTATGAATGGATGAATTATTCCTCTGCCTATTTCTGCCATTATACCAAACTTCAAGCACTTTATAGTGAACTTGGAAGCAAAAATGCCTTAGGCCAGTGTTGTCCAAACTTGGCCACTTTAAGATGAGTGGACTTCGACTCCCAGAATTCCCCAGCAAGCCATGCTGGCTGGGGAATTCTAGGAGTTGAGGTCCACTCATCTTAAAGTGGCCAGGTTTGGACATCACTGCCTTAAGCAGTTCCTAAGAACAAGGGTTAGAGTGTCCACTCACAGAAAGCAGTTATACATCAGCCCAAATCATCTGCCCAGTCCTTATTGAAAGCAGTGAGATGAACAGCCACAAGGGAAATATCCAGAGATCAATGGCCAAATGAAAGCGGTTACAGGTTTATGTTCTGTCTTGTTTGTTTATATAGAAGACTGTTGCTATGTTGCCTTTTCCCAGTTTTTCTTAAACAAAATATCAAGATAAAAAAAGTAGTTAAGAAAAAAACACCAAGAACAAAAACAAAAATAGAAGAAAGGAAGAAAACAAACTTGGGAAATCTTATTACATACCCACACATGAAAGTCCCTAAATTTCTTTTCTCTATTTTTTTTAATTCTTGGTTTATTTTTCAGCTATATATGGAGAGGGAGAGGGAGAGGGAGAGGGAGAGGGAGAGGGGGAGTCTTGGTGCTTTTTTGTTCAATAAATACACATGCGAAAAGGAAAAACTTTTAAATACCCACATTCAGTATTTCTATCTGCACATTTGTGTAGGCATAATTTATCTGTTAAAAAAATGCTGCTTATAAAGCTAAAAATGGTGGCCAATTTGAAGATATTTATCCTTTATTGCAAGGTTTTTCAAAGCTCCTTGTACAGTGGTACCTCTACTTGCGAACTTAATCCATTCCGTGACTCTGATCGCAAGTCGAGTTGGTCGCAAGTCGAGGTAAATT